CGTTTTGTTTATAAATTTCTCAAGTGTCACTCAAAAATCAACACCTTTGAGGCGAAAGGGGGTTGGCAAAGAGTTTCAAGGGCGATGTCTACTTCATCGTTCCACGTGAAACGTTCTATGTTAACAAAAGCCACAGGAGTTATTTGACTTCATCAACGTTGCCTCTTACTCCTGATGCATTTTTATACAAACATAAATTCTAACCAGTTGTTACGGGTTTAAGTGAAGTGCCAGCTGACCAACCTTGTCAGTCTCCAGTCTATCAGTTGTGGAAAATCAACACTGAATGGAAAATGAACTACAGATTCACTTATTTCACCTAAAGCAATAGTTTTTTTGGTGACGTACTTTCCATTATGCATTTCGTGGGCAGTTGAACATGCGTATCACATGCAAGTCAGGTTGCCATCAATGGTGGTGCAGGAACCAAATCAAAATAACCTTAAGGAAAACTCATATCCTTGTACAGTGTACCATGTAACTCGCACGCCATAATGTCTCAACTTGAATGAACTGCCACCTAGTTCCTAACTCTGGCAACTCGTTTTGAGCAAATTATGTTCTTACTCTGATCTAGGAGGGTTGGTAGCATCCTGGTATTGACTACAGAGTTATGCTGAGGGCACCAGTTTGGATAAGGCGATAGTTAACACCATGTCTTTGCATGCTTTATGTTCTCCTGACACGGACTAAATGCTAAGGTAAGCGTGTAAATTTAGTGGAAGACTATGTCGCAAATTACTTGCAGTATTTATTCCCTCACAAACGCAACACCTACTTTTGTGCTCCATACCTTCTCGTAAGTAATTCCTTCGCTCTTTTTCTTTCGTTTAAGAATTATGCACAAACTCCTATTCCCTTCATTGTTTTCGACCAGGTCAGTGCCTGACAGTTCGTGCTCACTATACGCTTCCTTGCTATCAAATGAAGACTAAAGTGTCTAACCAATGCAGAGATAGCCAACAGCTTGCGTTGTGCTTCCTTTACTCCCTCATTCTTTGTCGAGTTTGGTATACCAATGAATAACCGATAGCGATTTCGCTTTTTTCGTTGTTTATTTGTAAGTGTGCACCACCCACCCCAACGTGGCTAGTGTCAGTATCCAGCGTGAATGATGAGGTGCTT